CATTCCAGCTTCACACCTTTTCAGCCTTTCATCCCTAATGTATGTTCAAGGTTAAAGGGTCGTTGTACCAGTAAGGACTAAGAATATCCAACAACCCAAGGCAAAAGAATTTTTCTTACTTGATACACTCTAAGAAAACTTTCAACCTAAATGTATTGACTTTGGGGGCTAATGTACATATATAGGTCTAGTATACCTAGACCCCTAAAAGGTCGAGGACATTTTGACCTGCACCAAAAAGTAAAAGACATGTGTGTCACTACTATGATACGAATCCACTTAGGTAAAAGGACAAATTACAAATGGACTAAGGATAAGTAAACACATTAATGAAACCCTAAAACGGAGTAATCTTGCGATCATAGGCCCAACAAGCAATACCTATCCAAATATTATAAATAATTATTGTTCATGAGGTATGACTATGTTATTATTTATTGTAATTTTACTATATTATCGTTAACAACTAATTTAAGCGTCAATGTATGTTTACAAGCTTTCCTATTGAGGTCACATCATCCTACTAGAAGAGAATATCACAACACCTATAGTATAAGAAAACTTGTTCATCTAAAAGAGAAAGAGAAAAGTGAACACAAAAGCTAACACATTGTAGACTAGATAGAAAATTTGTATACCTTTAAATGTACTTCAGCCCAACAAAAATATGATGATAATGAATTTGTCAAAAACAATTTAATAGGATCTATCTATGTCCTCATTCCAATTAAATTATATTAGAATGCAATTTTATTTTAAAGCATTTAGAAGTTAATATATATTCAATATAATATTTCATTTCAAAGTACCAATTCCTTATAAAGTTTAAATACAAATTTTCTTTATTTAATTATTTCTTACATTTTTATAAGAGATATAACATACTTTTATATAAATTAAATAAGTTATTTAAATACTTTTTTTTTACAATTTTATGCTAATTATGACACATTTTTATAATATTAAAATATTTAATGATAATTGAGTTCACCAATAAGTTGTGCTAGAACATTGGACTAATATAACTCATGCATGCAGCAGTCCAATTTCACATTCTTTGTTTCTTAGGAATCAAAATTTGGCACAAAGTGTGTGAATGGCTAAGATGATTACTTGCCTTTTGGGGCTTCCAATCCAATTTTGGCATATCGATTAAAAGTTGCATTTGCTTTCTCATGTGATTATTCTTCACGTCTCTCTCTATTCTCCTTTGAAATTTCAGCATCCATGCATCAAACATAGCCTTAAGCTAACTTCTTTATCATGCATCAAATTCAGTTTACTACTTTATAAAAATTATTATATTTTATTTTTATTAAAAATATTAAAATCCATGTTGTTCATCAATGCTTGAAAACTTTTGATACGGTTATAGACAAAGAAAACCAACAAAAAAGTGGAAGCATATAAGAATAGTTTTGTAATAAACCTTCCTTATTCCTTTTCATTAATCATTTCTACAACCAAAGGACTTTTTTTGTATAAATAATTATTTAAAAAATATTTTTATGACCTTTCTATATTTCTTTTCCAGCTTTTCAAAGTATTCAGAAATTGAAATGGATATAAAATATAATTAAGACGCCGAATTATTTACAGTTTAAAAGTTTCTTATAAAACCAATCTCTTGTTTTTACAAAAGATAGTTTTTATGACTATTAGTAAATATAAATTAGCTTTATTTTACATGGTTTTTTATTTTATTTGTAAGAAATTATCCAAATTCCTTTTCGCACCACCACCCATGACACGGAAATATGAACTAATGGACCTATCCAGCCTCCTAATACAACTATTGGGCGTCATCAGATAATCTCCTAAGATACCTATTGGGCCTCATCTAAGTCCACAATTCATTAGGGCCTTTACCTTTGCTATTTGAAGTGTACAAGATTAACATGTGGGGGATTCTATTTATAGTACCTTTTGCATTTTAAAATATTTTTAAAATTATTTTTGAAACGTATCTTGTAATAAGTAAATGTTCTAGATTATATTTTTTAGAATGTGTTTAATAGTTAATACATTCTGAAAAATAATTTTCTAAAGAGGCAATTTTTCAAACACTTTGGGATGTAATTTTCACAAGTGTTAAAAATTTAACACTTTTGAATATTTGGTTAAAGAATTAGATTAAAGAAATGCAACATCGTTAGGAAGTTGATGGATATATAAATTCATAAATATAAATAATAAATAATGGTATGTAGCCATGGCAATGAGTCAAGACATACTCCTTATTTCCCCGTACTTGCATAAAAGATATCTACAGATATTTTTGTATATATGTAACATTTTTTTTATTTTTAAAATTTTAAGTAAAATCATTTGAAAATAATATTTTAAAATATATATTTAAATAAAAATTTAATCTTGAAGTGTAATTTAAATAAATCTTCGTAATATTCTTAAAGGAAATATTCAAATGCTTTGTCTTATAAAATATAAATTTTGAAGGATTTATATCTTTAAAAGGAACTTTAAATAAAAATTTAATTTGTAAAATTTAATTTTAAACAAATTTTAATAATTAATATTTATTTTATTAATAATTTTTTTATCAGTTAATATTTTTTAAAATATATCTATATAAAAATTATTTGCAACAAATATTAAATATTCATGAATTAGATATTAATGGTTTATACATTTATACATTCATTGCAACATTTAGATTTTTCATGAATAAATATTAGTATCCAAATTAAACAACATGATAACGAGAACTTTTGAAAATATATCTTTTGTTTGATATATTTAATTATAAATAGATTATGTTATTTTAAAATTGGTACCTACGCTATTAATATTTGTTTATTTATAAAATTAGTTATATCTTAAATTTTTTAAGTTAAGCAAGGAGAATTTGATGGTATAAAACAATGATCGAAAGTATTTATATTTTTTAGGAAAATGATACTTGAACAACCATTTTTGATAACATTTAGACACGCGCACACGTGTCTAAATTTGAGTGGTCAAGTTGGAAAAATTAAATGAAAATGGACCACTCAAATTTAGACACGTGTGCGCGTGTCTAAATGTTGTCAAAAATGGTTGTTCAAGTATCATTTTCCTATTTTTTATGTACTTAAAATTCATAATTTGATTATGGAACTCACACTTTATAGTCTATTTAGTGGGGTTCCTTATTGTCTACTTCATCTAATAAAAACTCACATTCAATATTTAATATTACAACAAGTTTAATAACATGTCAATAAACGTTTAAATAGAATTACAAACTAAAATTAGTATGGTTTCTGCAAACTTTACATAAACACCAATCTTTGTTATTTCAAACGAAAAATAACTTATTTTATATTTTACATACCATTATTAATGAATGAGTAATCAAGAAAATATATTTACATGCAATAATCAATTATCTTACATTATAACATATAAGAGAATCAATTTTGTTCTCACCTAATATACCAAGAATCAATTCTCTTCTCTTCCTCTATACCCAAGAATCGATTATCCTCTCTGATGTTACACATGAAAATCAATTCTTTGGTGGTCTACACGTATTAATTCTCCTTGTTAATACTTGCTTTTCGCACCAATTTCAATTATTTATGAAAACAAAATCAAATGTCTAAGAGACTGATAGTAGCCAAATCTTGAATAAGCAAAAGACTCACGGAGCTTTGACTTGTTGCCATTACAAAAGCTTAATCTTATGTTGACTACCTTATCTGTAAACACATATTTCTTCCATTGCTGCAGCAAACCACAAACAATCTCAAATAATTTTCTTATTATTGTGAGAGAAGATTAGTAATATAATCAGAAGAAAAAAACTAATAGACTTGTAATAATAATAATAATATTAATAATTATACTACTACTAATAATAATATCAATAATAATAATAATATTAATATTAATAATAATAAATTTTCAAATACATTTATTGTAATATTATCTTATTTGAGCATGGCATCTAATCCATTGTTATAAATTTCCATTACGAAGTATTGTATTTAATATATTTTGATCAATAATTACAACATTTCATATACTAACATTAATTTCGAACTACATCATTTAAATTTAAAATAATTTTATAAATTGAAATTAGTGCATATTTTAATTTAAACTTATCCATGCATTTAATTTAAACTTAATATAAATCAATAGTATTTTAATTGAATATAATTTCTCAAATTATTATTTTTTAATTTGGTATAATATCTCAGATTTCATGTACATAATTTTATAATAATAATAATAATAATAATAATAATAATAATAGTTACAATAATAATATACACATTATTACTTAACAAAATTTAATTAATTTTATTTCTGCAAATCCTTTTTATTTTAATATAATTCCATCATTTTTTTTATAATTTTAAATTATAACTCACATTTCATTTTAATATAATTAATATATTTTATTTTTATCAATTAAAACATTTTTTAATGTGTCAAATTTATTTTATCACTCACTAACTTTTGTAGATTTTCTTCTCAAATCCCTTCATTTTTTATCATCTTTTACTTAATTCAAACTACATCACATTCATATTTATTTTCTCTTAAATTCACTTTCTTAAATCCATCTTCAAATCCAAACACAATCTTAATTACCTAAAAATTATATTTAGTGATACTGTGAACAAAAAGTATAAAATAATATTAATTATTATTTTTAATTATATTGTTATTAATTTAATACTTTATTTTTTTTCCTTTTTAAATCTTTATTTTTCTACTATATTAAGCTTACCATAAAAAGCTCAAACCTTTATTTATATTTTCATTTTCAATCCCATTAATATTTCTATATACATACTATAAAAAATGGAAAGTATCCCAACCCAACATATAATTTGTTTAAATCATTAATTACTTATTTAATATCTCTAAATTCAATACAATAGCATTAATTACACAGACCCCTCCTATTGAAAGTTGTCACGCATACATTTCCTAACGTTAAATAAACTCTACTCATTTATTCATCTATTCATATATTCAAACACCATTTTCAAACTAGCCGTTGAGCTCAGCTTCCTTAGTTACCCTTCTCAAACTGTCTCTTCCAATGACATCCTCTTTTGACACACCTTCTCTGCTCCATCTCCTCCCAAACCAGGTTTCTCTTCTCTCTTAACCTCGGAAGTTGAAAACTGTCGTCTGTTGTTTCTCAACCTTTGTTTTCTTGTTGTGGTGATAGGAGGGCACTGTCGTTATGGCTTCTTCTTCTCCTCCTCAGTTCAGCCCTTCCTCTGATAAACGATTCTGGAGCACTCTGAGGAGCAGAGTCGACGCGCTTCTCGATGCTCGTCAACCCAGAACCTCATCTCACTCCCCGAAGGTTGGTGTTGCTGCTATCTTGTACAATCCATGTAATTTTCAATTTTTCATTGGATTCTCTGAGATTTAAATTGATGGGATGTTTCTTTCTTTTTTCTTTTCTATTTTATATGTGTAGAATGTAGAAGAAAAAAACCAGTTGAAGGAAGATTCTATGTTGCTGATGAGAGGATTTGACTCTGTTGCCAACACTCTTTCTATGTTATCTAATAATTTGGATAATGCTCTTCAGGTTTGTTTATTTACTACTATTAATTTGGACAAGAGGGTTTATTTTGGTGATTATGACATTCTTGTGCGATTGACCAATGCAGAACTTAACCCTGCTCATTTTTTTCTTTTGTGACTTTCTCTTTCCAAGTTTCTTTTAATTATAAGATTTGAAATTGAGATCTTGATTTGATCCGAATTTTGTTTCATTCTGATTCGGTTGTAAAGAGATTGTTACACAATAACTTGTTTGGTGAAGTTGTACTTTGATTAGATATGACCATTGATTATTTTTCATTACTGATGGTTTCAAATTTCACTCAAGATCGTCTGTAATCAAACTTGTAGCTGATTTTTTTGCAGGGTGCTAGAGAATTGGGGAATCCACCCACGTTAACTGACATATTTCACAGCAAAAATGATAAGGTGGAAAACAAGGAGGATTCCGGAGAGAAACAGAAGAAAGAGGAGTCAAAACAAGGAATGAAAAGGAAACTTGACCATGTTGATTACTGCGAAGAAAGTGCCGTTGAGTCACAAAAGGAGAACGGGAAAAAAGCAGTGGATAGAAACATCAAGAAAGCAAAAAATGTTGGTGTTTGTTTTTAGTATATGAGTTGCTTCGCTGAAGTTACCAGCTAGTTGTTTATTTATTTTATTTGCACATTGCAGCTTGCCGTTTCAATGGCAACGAAAGCAGCTTCACTAGCAAGAGAATTGAAGTCCATTAAATCAGATTTGTCTTTTATGCAAGAAAGGTGTGGTTTGCTTGAAGAGGAGAACAGGAGACTGCGTGATGGATTTGCAAAAGGAGTTAGACCTGAAGAAGATGATCTGGTAAGGAATCAATCAATCATCACATAATCATTTCACTACCATGATAAATTGGAAAATAACAAACTTTATTGTTGTTTATTGCTCGAATCTATTGAAAGTCATAAATTTTAGATTCTCCCTTGTGATTTTATAGTTTCAAATAGATTTTGTGGTGAGTGTAGGTGAGGCTTCAGCTGGAAGCACTTCTTGCTGAGAAGTCGAGACTGGCCAATGAAAATGCAAATTTAGTGAGAGAAAATCAATGCCTTCATCAGCTTGTGGAGTATCACCAACTTGCCTCTCAAGATCTCTCTGAGTCAGATGAGGATTCTGCTATTCAGGGAACGTACTTAGACTTCTCTTCTCCCCCACCAACAATTCCTGAAGAGGCAGGGGATGAAGAAGGTGATGTTGATGATGATGAAAATGGAGAACCACACACACCCACAAACGATATCCACAAATTTTCTGCTTCACTTGATGATGCTGCAAAATATTAGGAAGCATCATAACACTCCTTATAATGATGCTGCAAAATATTCCCTGTATTTCTGCCAAAATTAAATTCCTTTTTCTGATCATAAAAAACAATTATTAATAATGCGATAATAGCTCTTGAAATAGAACAATTATTAATCCAAGTTATTGCTAAATATAACTACTTATTATATAAATATATAATTCTTTCTTGGACTTTATGGTCTTGCCAATAATAAATAATACAAGATCAGCCAAGCTGCATGTTATTAGTTAGGAAATTTTTTAGTTATGTATGACCAATTGGTATGATACGTGATCACATGAATCTACCAATCATTGGCTAACAATTGCTTAGTGATTCCCAAATCTCTTGTTAAAAAGCAGTTAAATGTAAAGCTATTGCGAGTAGTGTTAGTGTGTGGTTTGGTGCATTTGCATAAACAAACATATGGAAGTTCTCTTTCCATATTTTGTACACCTTCCAATGTTGTACGTTTGATTTTAAATGAATCAATTGATGGTGTATCAATTGGATCAAATTTCCCCCCATTAGAATCACTACTCTCATATAGATTGCAGTGATTCAGAAGCGACGTTAGTCGACTATTTTTTTACTTGAATTAGTAAAGCCCAAAAAGTGATACCAAAAAGCAAGTATAATTGAATATGAGAATGTAAAAATATAACTAAAATAAGTTTAATTTTCTTGAATTAGGGTTATTAAGTTTCTCAATCCAACTTTTTCATTGACCCTATAAATTTAATAAAACAAGTCATTATTGTAGAAACAATTTGTTGAATGACTATTTTCCAACATTTTAAATTGTTCGTTGCTTCATTAACTATGCATTTTTATAAGACATGATGAACCCCATGAATATCGGGTAATAATTTAGCAATTATAGTGAATGAGTTTATGTACATTGTTTCACAAATGTTTTGTGACATGATTTCGGATTTCAGTTTGTTGTGATCTTCTAACTAAAATGAGTGAGGTTGCACAAGTGTGAATACTTACCTTTCAAATCCCACTAATCTTTTTTCCACAATGTTGTTTGAGATCTACAATCACAACATGAATGAACATATTACACTCTTAATCTAAATTGGCTTGAATGTGTTACAATGTAAAGTCATTGCTTTGTAATGTAGAACATCTTAAGTGTGTCTAATATTTCTTATTTGTCATAAAAGTGAAATCCTTCAAACAAGGATCTTAGAAGATATAATACACTCTCGAATAAAAAAACATGTTTAGATTCAGGGTCTATTTGATTTCTGTGGGAAAATTAGGTTTAGAAATGTTAAGGGGTGTACAATTGTGACAAGTAAGCATGTGATTGTTGTTTATGAGGAATGTTGTTACCATTCTTCTCGGCTACATTTTCAAAGATATCGTCTTCACTATCACATAACAGTCACAATTTGTAGATGGAAGTCCTACAACATCATGTGTTAGTTCTAGTGAAGGCAGAACAAGTATATTATCTTGGGTGTGATGGTTGAAATCAGTGTTTGGAGATGAAAAATAATTCGATATGGAAGATGCCAAAGTATATTCAAAATTGTTGTGTAACATTGATCACAATATGCCAATATATACAAGCAACATGAAATGAATCCTAGGCTACAATTAAGTTAACTAATATTGCTAGTATCCATAATTTTGTCTATTAACATATATCAAATTGATATGCATTGCTCTCATGCTAAGACCCAAATGGAAAAAATCATTTATAACGATGACATGACACGATAGTTACGATCATATATTTTATTCTTATTAGAAGGAATAATAAGAAAATAGATGTATGATTATATGTTAACTTTTGAATCTTCAAAATAACTTTGGTTTACATTGAAGGATGGTGGGTAATGCAATAAGGAATGTGGAGGGTATAGTTTTTATGGGTAGGAATGTGATGATTAAACATAATGGAATGAAAATATACTTAGTTGAAAATAATCATAGATTGAGTCCTGGATGTTAAGTACGTCATTTAAGTCTTTATCATCTTGTAACTGAATGATTGTGTATTGCACCATATTAACACCAATTTTGGTTGGTACCAAAACATAATGATATTGACTTTTTCATGTTTGTATTGATTCCATATCAACTAAAGATAAGATGATTTCATAATATATAATTGGGTGCAAACCTTACTTTACAAGCCAATTGTATATGGTTAAATTAAACTTAAAATCTACTTTTTAGCATGGTATGAGAACCATGGTTTAGAGTTCATTTTAGTAAGATGTGTTATTTATCGGACTTATTGTGTCATCCGCATTAAAAGAGTGAGTTGAAAATCTTACATCAACTAAAGAGAAAATCAATTCATAATATATAAGTAAGGACAAACCTCATCTTACAAGTTAGTTTTATAAGATTAAGTTAGATCTAAAATCTACTTCTTAATAATATTTTGGTAACACCCTCTTTTTGAAACCTTCAAACATTATTTTTTTTAGTGTATTCTTTTTATGAGAAAAGTTAATATTTTCATTGTTGATAAATGTTACAAAAATACTTAACTGTTATGATGAAAAAATAACAATTCTAACAAGTGAAGAAAGAAAGAAAAACTTTGCTAAAGGGATCTTAAACCAATTTTTTTGCAACATATTGTAAATGAACAATGGTGTAATTAACAAAAAAGTAATACACTGTTCTCGAGTTAAGTCCCATTGCTTCATGTACTATGTTGCCATGTTTGAAGCTGCTGCTATTGACTTGTTCTACATGGCTTGACCGTTATCTCATAAAAGTCCACAACTAAACTGTTTGATTTTGGATATAAATATGGATACCACGACTGATTTTATCATGGAACCATGTTCTTGAAGAAACAAATTGTTTCAGTCTATATTTTGTGGGACCGATGAACATACCTTGCCAACGTGTCTTCTTTGCTTCCGGATGTCTATGTCGCTCGCTGGTCCTTTGATGTGTTGCTTGCTTGTCTTTTCTTCAGTTCATACCGCTCGTCCACTTTCACCAGCAGAGGGGGAGGTACCTGCGAAGACACTCTGACGCTCAAATCAGGCGTGAGTTATAGAGTCTCAGTTCTCAAGAAAGTGATTTTTTTATCATTGTAGAATATTATCTAGAGTCTCTAGAACGTAGAGGGAACGTACATGGAATTTTGCCCTGTCATTGTATTTATAGGCCAATAAAAATAACCTTACCTAAAAATCTGGTTAGTTACTCATAAATATCTTAACTGCTCAAAATATCTAAGATATTTTATCTAATAAATATTATCCAATAAATATCCTACAATACACAAACAAACCAAGTGGCAGAGAGCTTCACTAAATTTTGTCTTGCTTTGATTGCGTTCCTTTTGCTTCTTTAAGAAGGTTGGCTGAAGAATCGTCTATTTCTTTCCTTCATGGTTTTTAATAACTGTTTCGGATGTGTAGGGCTGTGGGGTTCCAAGTCTTCCAAGTCCTCCCGTAGTCTTGTCTCCTTGGCGGATCCTCTCTGGCGCTCTTGTTCTCCCTTGATCCGGAGGGGTGGAGACCTACAAAAGATTCTCCAATGCCAAAGTCAGTTTCAGATCAGTGGCTATTTTCAGTAGTAGCAATAAATGTGCATTCAATGTCACCTATCTACCACTCACCGTGGCACCTGTATTATAGTTTTCGCTATGGGCTTGGGATTAGTGAAAAGTTAATCACGGCCCAAAACGGCCCGATAGCTTCTAATTTCACTTACCTTTAAACCAGGCTACTTTTCCTTAAGTCATGTTGATTAGTGTTTTTGGCGGGCGTGGACGTCCGCCCATGTGAAATGGGCGTCTGCCTCGCGCGCACGGAGATCCGCCCATGTGGGTCCGCCCATGCGGCTCTTTGGTACGGCGTCCGGTTTCTTGGCCGTGTCCGCGAAGATCCGCCCATGCGGGATCCGCCCATGTGGGCTCTTCCGTACGGCGTCCGGTTTTGCTCGTCGTGTCCGCCCATATGATATGGGCGTCCGCCTCGTCCGCAGGAGATCCGCCCAATTAGCTTGGGCTTCCGCCCACATGGATCCTTCCTCCGTACGCGTTCGGCCCTTGCAGATACACAAGCCCCCCAAGTCCCTAGTGCACGTATGAACTTAGGACTTTAGGTCAACCTAACGGACAAGATTTCAGCAGTGGCTGTTTGGCCGGGCTGCTCTGTGATGGTAAGATTCCTTGTGAGTTCTTTCAAGTTTTTCTTATAAGGGCTGGCGGCCCGGTTGGTAGGTGTTCCTCCCTCGCTACATGAGGGTTAGGAGAGTTTATACCGGGTCTAGGTTCAATCTTGGCCCGTCCTCTCTTAACGTTGAGCCTCCGGCGTGCTTTTTACGATTGCGTACAGGCATTGTCGTAAGTAACGGCGCCGGGCTGCTCTTGTGATGTAAGATTCCTTGTGAGTTCTTCAAAGTTTCTTATAAAGAGGCTCGGCCCGGTTGGTAGGTGTTCCTCCCTGCTACATGAGGTTTAGGAGAGTTTATACCGGGTCTAGGTTCAATCTTGGGCCGGCTCTTCAGCGCATGGCCTCCGGGTGCCTTTTACGATTGCGTACAGGCATTGTCGTAAGTACGGCGCCTGCACTTTCGGCGCCCCTCGTACGGCGCCCGGCTTTCGGGCGTTTCGGCGCCCCTCGTCACAGCGCTCGGCATTTCGGGCGTCTCGATATTTCGGGCGTCCTTTCGTACGGCGCCTGGCACTACTATTCTCGGCCCCCTCTTACATCTCCCACACTCTCTGGTACACAAGCCCCCCAAGTCCTAGACACGTAGTGAACGTAGGATTCGAATACGGCGCGTGGGGGGTCGGGAACCCGTAATTGGGCTTTATCCAGTGGGCTTTTGAATTCGAATTTTAGGCGGGAAAACACGTGGCGCGTCCCCATTGATGGAGCTGAGCGCGTCGCCAATCTGGAGCGTTGGTTGTACCTAATCTAAACGGCCGAGATGCATCTGACGTTTACTAATTTTCCCTATAAATAGTGTGTTTTTAAACGGGTCATTTATCTTCTTTACTCAGGAGTTCGAGATTCTTTTTCCCTCGGTAATAAATGCATCTGTCCATTGAGTAGGTTCTTTGTCGTCGGGCGGAGTCCGGGAGGGGTCGGCGCAGGGCGACAGCGGCGTTCTCTAAGTTCGGCTTCTTCTCGTTTTTTTGGAGGAGGCGGTTGGGTCTTCCGGAGGGGACCCGGTGCACCGGTCTCGATGAACG